CCAATGTGTCCGCATGCATTCATCTATATCAATAAAAATGTAATGTTCTTGTGGGTTTTTTTCGGGCTATAGGGCCATGTTCTAGAGGCATTTCTCCTGACGTTTCGCCTGCATCTATGGCAAGCATCCTCAGAGGTAGTGAGGTCTGTTGGAACTAGGAAAAGAGGTTTATATATCTGTGGAATGGCTGGGGTGGGGCAAAGAGCTCTTCTCTGCTTGAGCTAGGTGTGAATGTTTCAACTGACCACCTTCATTAGCATTTGAAGGCCTGGCTGAGCCTGGAAAATCTTTTGTTGGGAGGTGTTAAGATGTGCCTGGTTGTTTCCTCTCTGCTGTTTTGCTGTTGATTTTAGAGTTTCTTTTAATACTGGTAGCCAGATTTTGTTCATTTTCATGGTTTTTTCCTTGCTATTGAAATTATCCACATACTTGTGATTTCAATGGCTTCTCTGTGTAGTCTGACATGGTGGTTGTTGGTGAGGTCCAGCATTTCTGTGTTCTCAAATAATATGCTGTGTCCTCAAATAGCAAACAGCAAAACAGCAGAGAGGAAACAACCAGGCACATCTTAACACCTCTCAACAAAAGATTTTCCTAGGCTCAGCCAGGCCTTCAAATGCTAATGAAGGTGGTCAGTTGAAACATTCACACCTAGCTCCAGCAGAGAAGAGCTCTTTGCCCCAGCCATTCCACAGATATATAAACCCATTGTCCTAATTCCAACAGACCTCACTACCTCTGAGGATGCTAGCCATAGATGCAGGCGAAACGTCAGGAGAAATGCCTCTAGAACATGGCCCTATAGCCCGAAAACCCCCACAAGAACCTAGTGATTCCATCACATTTGGGCATATTGAGTATTTGTGCCAAGTTTGGTCCAGATCCATCATTGTTTGCGTCCACAGTGCTCTCTGGATGTAGGTTAACTACAGCCCCCAAACTCAAGGCCAATGCCCTCAAACCCTTCCAGTATTTTCTCTTGGTCATGGGAGTTCTGTGTGCCAAGCTGTTTATCTGCATGAGGAAGAAGCTCAGTATGGAAGCAAAGAAGGAAGTATAAAGAACTTTATTTGTGTTGTGGAAGCCTTGTTATTATAAATACTGCAATTATCTTATTTTACTACAAAGAAAAGCCTCCAAAGGAAGAGATAACATTGGTCTGTGTGTTTTTGTTCTTTTTTTATCACTTTGGGCTCCTGGTCCTGGGTCACGCTGCTGCTGATAAGTTACTCTGCTGTACATTTATGGGGAGGGTCTTTTGTTAATAAGCCTACTTGCCCAACAGTCTTTAAGTCAGCTCAAACATATCAGAAGGTTTTCTTGGCAAGGTTGATTCAGAGGAGGGTTGCCATTGCTTTCCACTGAGGCTGAGAGAGTGAGACTTTCCCAAGGTCACCCAATGGATTTCCATGGCAGTGGGGTTTTGAACCCTAGTCTCAATTAATCCTATTCCAACAAGACAGGTCAAGACTTCTAATCTTCCAGTACTTTCTTTCAGTACTACAGATTTTGTATTTATCATTCCCCAGTTTTTCAAATCTTATGCTTTGCTTTGGTCCAATGTTTTTGTCGTATTATTCTTGAACAGCATTGCTTCAGTGCTGGTGGTCTTTGTTTCTTCCAGCACGCTGACATTTGTCCGCCTGTCTTCCCAAGAGATTTGCACGATTTTTCAGGAGCAACGCTGATGGAATCATTCCAGGAGTTGTGTGACATCTGTAGACAGTCCACGTTTTGCAGGCGTATAGCAGGGTTGGGAGGCACCTTAAACAAGCACATAGGTCTCCCTACGGATGTCCCGGTCCTCAAGCACTCTCTGCTTCATTCTGAAAAATGCTGCACTTGCAGAGCTCAGGCGGTGTTGGATTTTCATTCTGAAAAATGCCGCACTTGCAGAGCTCAGGTGGTGTTGGATTTCAGTGTCAATGTTGACTTTTGTGGAGAGGTGGCTCCCAAGGGAGTGGAAATGGTCAACATTTTCTAATGTTACACCATTAAGCACCGGGATTGTGGCGCACCTGGCTGAGTGTTAGCTGCATTAAGATCACTCTGACCAAAAGGTCATGAGTTCGAAGCCAGCCCGGGTTGGAGTGGGTTTCCAACCAATTGTGTAGCCTGTTGTCGACCTTTGCAACCCGAAAGACAGTTGCATCTGTCAAGTAGGAAAATTAGGTACCACCTTAAAGTGTGGGGAGGCTAAATTAACTAATTTATGAGGCCATAAAAAAGACTCCAGCAAAGCACTCCAGCAAAAAGCATGCGGGGAATGCGGAAGTACTTCATCAGTGTCGCAGATGGACGATGAAAGCGACAGCTCCCCTGGCGGCCAGAAAAAGTTAAATAGCCTCTGTGTATGTCTGTATATGTTGTATGTTAAAATTGGCATTGAATGTTTGCCATATATGCATACACTGTAATCCGCCCTGAGTCCCCTGCGGGGTGAGAAGAGTGGAATATAAATACTTTAAATAAACTGTAAATAAATAAATCTCTAGCATTGGAGAGGGATTGGCTGGTGACTGCTGGAAGAGCACTTTGGTTTTCTCGATGTTCAATTAGAGGCTGAGCTTCTCGTATGCTTCTGCGAAGGTGTTTAGAGTGGCTTGAAGGTGTTTAGAGTGGCTTCTGGATGTGCATAGACAATGTTGTTATCAGCATATTGGAGTTCTATAACAGATGTTATTGTGACCTTGGTTTTGGCTTTCAGTCTGCTGAGGTTGAATAGCTTGCTATCTCTCCGATAGATGATTTCCATTCCGGTGGGAAATTTCCCATCAACAAGATGAAGGATCATAGCAGTGAAGATGGAAAATAAGCTTGGGACAATAACACATCCCTGTTTGACCCCTGATTCCATCTCAAATAGGTCACTTTGGGAGCCACCGCTGTCCAAGACTGTTGCCATCATGGAGGAGCCGAGGGATGTTCACAAATTTGTCAGGGCACCCAACTTTTTGGAGGATGGTCCAGAGAGCAGTGCCTTTCAGAGTCTCGGGTACATTGTTGTCCATTTCCTCTTTCAATGCGAGGCCAGGAGGTCTTTTCCTTGCATCCGTCTGTTTGCCTGTCCCAATTTTCTTTCTTTGATTCATTCTTCCTTTTTGTTTCTATCATGTGTCTGTCTTCCTTTTCTTTGAAGGATGAGATAAAGGACACATTTAATTTTTCAAGGAAATCTCTCTTCTCTTAATAAATTACCATTTGCCATCCCTTTGAGCCCGCTCTGCCCCTGGCGCTGACCTCGGCCTGCCTTTTGCACTGACCTTTTGCTCTTCATACACTTGAAATTCTCTACCTTGTGCATTCATTTCTAGATGGCAGGAGTGGGTTGCAGAGACATCTTCTATCTATCCCCCCTCTTTTTAATTTGAATTAATATTTTTCTCTTCCTCATTCTGTACTTGATCGATCCATGCGTATTTTTCATTTTTATTGTAGGGCTCTTCTTACAGAGAGCTCATTGGCTAAAACGATTCTGGGACCCATTTTAAATACATATATATATGTGTGTGTGTTAAGCTTTGGGGAAAATTCAGACATTATAGCAGAACATCAAGCCAGGTTTAAGTTTATTCTACATTAGCCAATCCGTCGCTCTCCTAAGAATGGGTTTCTGAAATAGAAAACAGTAAAACGTTATATTGAAATTTAAATTGCCCCATTAAAATTACGAGATCAGATCAGGGCACTGAAAGACATTCTGTTTTTATATGTCGCTCTGGAAGCAAAGAATTGTATTTCACCAAGTTGTTCTGTTTTACTAGTTGCTAAGTTAAAACTTAGCAGTATATTCGCATTCAGTAGCAGTGGTTGTACAACATTGGGAAAGAACTTCTTATCCTGTGGCACATTTATTGAATCTGTGCATCATGAAATGTTTCTCTATCACCAGATCTCTGGTTGTTTTATTTATTGCGTCAGAAGCAAATAGAGAATACAGTCATAATGTATAGACCAATGGTTCCCCACCTTTTTCTGACTAGGGACCACCTGACCAGGGACCACTCTCCAACATTAGTAGCAAACGGATTATGAATCAGTTTTTGGTCAACTTTAGATTTGTTTGGTTATGTGGGGTGCTGATTCAGAAAACTGCATTGGATGGACCACATCAGCTCTAGTTTCTGATACAGAACATACGCCATCCAGAAATTGCCATCTGCTCACCCACAGGAAACCATATTTCATAATCTAGAACCGCGGACCTTATTTGAGGTCTCGCTGCCCACCAGTGGGCCACAGCCCACAGGATGGGAACTACTGGTAAAGAGAAACCACAAACAAAGCTAAAAACTTGGCATTGTACTAAATTTCCTTTGAGCAGAAGCTGGCCACTTGGCATGCTCTGGTGTGGCTGTGAGAAGGTCGTCCACTGTGCATGTGGCAGGGCTCAGGACAACAACCTTGGTCTCCCTACTGATGAACCGGTCCTCAAACACTCTCTGCTTCATTCGGAAAAATGCTGCACTTACAGAGCTCAGGCGGTGTTGTATTTCGGTGTCAATGTTGACTTTGGTAGAGAAATGGCTGCCAAGGGAGCGGAAATGGTCAACATTTTCTAATGTTATACCATTAAGCTGTATTTCTGGCATTGGAGAAGGATTGGCTGATGACTGCTGGAAGAGCACTTTGGTTTTCTCGATGTTCAATGACAGGCCGAGTTTCCCGTATGCTTCTGAGAAGATGTTTAGAGTGGCTTGTAGGTCTTCTGAATGCGCACGGACTACGTTGTCACCAGCATACTGGAGTTCTACAACAGATGTTGTTGTAACTTTGGTTATGCCTCTGCTTGTAGTCTGTCTGCCCGTCTTGCAGAAGCTGAGGATGTGATCTATTTTTTCATCTGCTTCCTTGCAGAGTCTGCATTATATCATCATCATCATCATCATAATCATCATAATCATCATCATTTGAAACATAACAAGATGAGTCCACAGCAAACAAGATCACTATTATTATTATTATTATTATTATTATTATTATTATTTGACTATTCTTACCAGATGAGGTCCTGTATTCTACTGTTAAAAACTTCCGCTTGTGAGGCCTTGTTTTTTGTTTCTTGGATTAATTTTGACACACTGGTCTGGTTGTTTCCATACGGCATGCTGGAGATCAGGCACCCAAACACCGTGGCCACAATCCTTAGGATTCCCGTCACGACGCCTTCAAAAACTTGCTTATTTGCAGTTCTTCCTAAAGTTGCATTGTGGTCATCTGGGACATAGACCTAAACATGCACACAAATGAGAATAAGTGCAACATTCAGCATTTGCAAAATAATTTTTGTTAACTTGACAATACAGTGGAATGATACTTTCAGTTGCAGTTTTTCCATTTCCAATTCAATCCAATAGGCCTTTACTGGCATATATAACAAGTATAAAATACAGTATAAATTATAGAAAACACATTTGCTACATATTCCGTTTACAGACTTCATTCAGGAACCTTGCCACTGAAAGGCAACAGTTAAATCTTGGCAACTGAAAAACATTATTACTATGTCTGGGCCAGTACGGTTTTTCAAAGAATCTACAACTTGTAGTAGTAAGCTAGATCTTGGTTCCTGGTAAAGTGGGCAGTGAAGAAGATGCGGGATGGAGTCTAGCTGTCCTGTGCTACAGGGACAAAGCCTCTTGTCGCTCGGTAGACCGTGGAGTCTTCCTCTCTGGAGTGGAGATGGCATAATATTAAATCTAGCCAGCATGTTGGCTCTCCTGTAAGAGGGGTTAGTGAGCGCTGCAATATAATAGGCTGGGCTTCCCTGTATGAATGGAACTGCCATGCTCATAGGCGAACAGGATTTATTGGCCAAGCTCAGAAGTTGTTTATAATCCATTGCTAGCAACCTCTTTTTAATGAGGGTAAAGATCTCGGTGAATGTTAGCATATTCAAGAAGTTGCTCTCATAGCCCAATTGCCCGATCTTTGTTCTGACTGTTGTGCGCCATTTTGAGTGGTGGAGTTTGCTCAAGGTGAGTTGGGGCTTTGATAGTGAATATAGGGATGGTTCCATCTTGTCTCCTTTGTATGTCATCAGTTGGGGACTGGGCCAGAGTGAAGAGAGCAAGGGGCCAGGGGACAGTTCCACCTTGTCTCCTGTGCTATACCAAAATAAAATAATGTCTTTCCTCAGTCATACAGTTTTATGATTATTATTTATTTTTGTTTTTTTATATAATCATCAAAGGTTGTCCAGTCTGTTCTTTTTACTCCCTTACCATTATTTTGTTTTAACAAAAACGTTAACTCATCCATATCCTTTATTTCCATTATTTTGTCTATCCATTGTGATTTGGAGGGAATTAAGTCAAGTTTCCATGATTTTGCAAATACCATTCTGGCCGCTGTAGCAAAAATAAAAAATCGAATAGTTTTTCCATGTTAATGTCCTTAAAGATCTCCTGTTTCTGGATTCCTTGTAAATTGCTCTGGGTCCCCTTCGGGGTGAGAAGGGCAGCATATCAATGCCGTAAATAAATAAATATCCCTCCACCGCTAACATAGTGAATATGGAGGGCCTACTCTATATGGATGGATGGATGGCATCCTTGAAGTGACTAGCTTGTCTCTGAAGGAGCTGGGGGAGTGACGGCTGACAGGGAGCTCTGGCGTGGGCTGGTCCATGAGGTCACGAAGAGTTGGAAATGACTGAACTACAACAATATTTCTATATTGTACTTAAAGGTAAAGGTTTTCCCCTGACATTAAGTCCAGTCATGTCCGACTCTGGTGCTTGGTGCTCATCTCCATTTTTAAGTCGAAGAGCCAGCGTTGTCTGTAGACACCTCCAAGGTCATGTGGCCAGCATATCCAAAATAACCTTAACAAAACAAAACACCCACAATCACTGTTCGAGATCATAAAATATCTTATTTTTAAAACAAATTCTGTGTGCAGGCGTGTTGATGTATGTATGCAGCAGACACTAGCAGCACTAGGAGCCTGGGGAGATCATGGCCACTGGTGGGTGCCGCCATGGAGAAGGCCTCCCTGATGTCTTTAATCTTTAAACAGTGCATTAGCGATAATAAGGGCAAAGAGGAGCCTCGGAGATGCGCTGAAGCGATAGCATTATCCAGACCGGGATGCCAATCTACGGAAGCCCAGGGGGACGTTCCAGAAGGAAGGCCAAGCAAATCACTCCGCTTTTCTGATCCAGAAATCAGCGAGGAAAGCCGGCGCCAATTTAAATGTGGCCACAGCGGCATCATCATCAAGATGCAGCCGTATCTTGGTTGAGCGCGGTATCCCTCTCGGAGGGAATACGGTAACACTTGGCGACAAAGGACAACATGCAGATTTTCTTTATTATTCATTAGCTCTGTGCCCAGAGTTGGTACTTAAAATGCATTGTAATAGTCTGCTCCTGGTCGCGAGCCAAGCGGGGAAGTGAGACGTCTTCAGCTACTTATTCAAGTTCCGCCGAAGAAAGAATATTATGTTGCGCCGGTAATTTACACAGACCGGAGTAATTCATGCCTAATGATTCTGACTGTCTACCAAAGTGGATGGATTGTATTTAAAACATGTGCACCTCTTTAATTAGCAAGTTGGATGTGGCAATTTGGAAGCAATTAGCCGAACAAGCATTGCCAGTACGAGGTACTTAGCACATCCCAGCTTTTCCTCCATCCCTGATACACACACACACACACAGACTGAACATAGCATTAGGAGATCCATGGCCTATGATCTCCTAATTTATGTGTATAAATAGAATTCTGAGTGTTGGGCAAGTAGGCTTATTAACAAAAGACCCTCCTCATAAATGCACAGCAGACTAACTTTTTAGTAGCGGTGTGATTTGGCCAGAGACCGCCATGACGTGCTCCTCACGAGAGCCATGACAGGTGCTGACAACTGCTGGACAGTCCACAGGCTAATCTGATCCACGATAGCTATCAAGATTGCCCCCAAGCGCAATGTCCAAGGAAGAAAGACAAGGCGCAAAATGAACACCCAAGCCCTTGAGGAGCCCTCCAGATGAGCCCTTCTCCAAACAGCACTCAAGGACCATCTACCCACAGAACACCCTGAAAATGTTGAGGAACATTGGAATAAACTGAAGACCTCCATCATCACAGCCTGCAAAGAAATTATTGGATATCATACCAAGAAACATCAAGATTGGTTTGACGAACATGACAATGAGATCCAACAGCTAATTGACATGAAAAGGAAAGCCTTCCAAACATGGCAGAGAGATATCAATTGTGCTGCTAAGAAAAAAATCTATGCCAGTGCAAAAACTGAGGTCCAAAGAAGGACAAGAGAACTCAAGAACATCCGCTGGACAAAGAAGGCTGAAGAAATCCACACCTGGCATATACCCATGATGCTCAGGGATTTTTCAAAGCCACAAAGGTCCTCTACGGACTTCTACAGCCTCTATGCTCATCAGATGGAACCAAACTCTGAAGGACCAAAACTCAATTGCACTACGTTGGAAAGAACACTACCAAAGCCTCCTGAACCGCAGCTCCAAGGTAGCTGAAGAGGTTCTCTCACAAATCCCGCAACAATAAACCAGGGATGAGCATGCAGCACTGCCTAGTTTGGAAGGAGTCAGAAATGCCATTAGCCAACAAAAAATAATAACAAAGCCAGTGGACCTGATGGGATCCCTGCTGAAATCTTTAAAGAGGGAGGACCTGAGTTGATAAACCAACTCCACCAGCTCATAGAAAAAGTGTGGGTGACCGAGAAAATCCCAGCAGATTTCAAGGATGCCACCATAATCACCCTCTTCAAAAAAGGGGAAAGAACAGGCTACGGAAACTATCGAGGTATCTCCCTTCTAACCTCCGCTGGGAAAATCCTCGCAAGAATTCTTGCAAACTGCCTTCTACCCCTCTCAGAAGACACCCCCCTAGAATCCCAGAATGGCGTTCTGCCCCTCCAGAGGAACAGTGGACATGATCTTCACTGCACAACAGCTCCAAGAAAAATGCAAGGAACAAAATCAACATGGCATTCATTGACCTTGCAAAAGCATTTGACCCAGTGAATCACAGTGCTCTCTGGACCATCCTCCAAAAAATTGGGTGCCTTGACAATTTTGTGAACATCCTACGGTTCCTCCATGACAACATGATGGCAACATTTAAGGTGGAATCAGGTGTCAAACAGGGATGTGTTATTGCCCCAGCCTTATTTTCCATCTTCATCGCTATGATACTTCACCTTGCTGATGGGAAGCTTCCTATCGGAGTGGAAATCATCTATCGGACAGATGGCAAGCTATTTAACCTCAGCAGACTGAAAGCCAAAACCAAGGTTACAACAAAATCTGTTATAGAACTTCAGTATGCTGATGACAATGTCATCTGTGCTCATTCAGAAGAAGACCTACAAGCCACTCTAAATACCTTCGCAGAAGCATACGAGAAACCCGGCCTGTCATTGAACATCAAGAAAACCAAAGTGCTCTTCCAGCAGTCAACGGCCAATCCCTCTCCAATGCCAGAGATACAGCTTAATGGTGTAACATTAGAAAATGTTGACCATTTCCGCTACCTTGGCAGCCCCCTCTCCATAAAAGTCAACATTGACACTGAAATACAACACCGCCTGAGCTCTGTGAGTGCAGCATTTTTCCGAATGAAGCAGAGAGTGTTTGAGGACTAGGACATCCATAGGGAGACCAACGGCTTTCTTTATAAAGCCATTATCCTCCCAACCCTGCTATACATTTGTGAGACGTGGACTGTCTACAGACGTCACATACAACTCTTAGAACGATTCCATCAGTGTTTCCTCTGAAAAATCCTGCAAATCCCTTGGGAAGAAAAGCGGACAAATGTCAGCATGCTGGAAGAAGCAAAGATAACCAGCATTGAAGCCATGCTCCTCCGCCATCAACTCCGCTGGACCAGCCACGTTGTCCGGATGCCCGACCACCGTCTCCCAAAGCAGTTGCTCCACTCTGAACTCAAGAACGGAAAATGGAATGTTGGTGGACAGGAAAAGAGATTGAAAGATGGGCTCAAAGCCAACCTTAAAAACTCTGGCATAGACACTGAGAACTGGGAAGCCCTGGCCTGTGAGCGCTCCAGCTGGAGGTCAGCTGTGACCAGCAGTGCTGCAGAACTTGAAGAGGTATGAATGGAGGGCGAAAGAGAGAAATGTGCCAAGAGGAAGGCGCGTCAAGCCAACCCTGACTGGGATTGCCTTCCACCTGGAAACTGATGCCCTCACTGCGGGAGAAGATGTAGGTCAAGAATA